ACAACACCCTGGCATGCTTAATGTGGGTCAGCCAAAAACATGTACACTTTAATAACGGTCACTGTGTGTGTGTGTGTGTGTGTGTGTGTGTGTGTAGCATGGAACATCGAAGCGGAAGTACAGCTCCTGCTCCACCATCTTCCTCGATGACAACACAGTCAGCCAGCCCAACCTCAAATACACCATCAAATGGTACCAACATGAAGGAATAAATACATATTTTATTATCTCAAGAAACATATTTATTATAACATATTAACACATGTATTTGTTTCCCTTTGCAGTGTAGCAGTGGCGATCTACTACCATATAAAAAACAGGTAGGGATTCTCGCTTTTTTTCAGCAGTTTGAGTGTAAACTGTATGAAAAAGAGAATCATGGTCATTATTGCATATGCAGAGTTTATTTGTATGTATTTTTCAAAGATATCAAAAGCAAAGTACTCCTTTCACAACAATATGTGATATGTGTCTCAATACATGTGACAAAAGTCTTGATTGCACAACTCCAAACATAAGATGAAAATAAAAATAGAAATCCATAAAATGTTGAAAAAAAGCCAAATGTATTGTTTGATAAGTAAGAATCCATAAAGTAGATTATGAAATAATGTTGATTATACAAATCTACAGCAATAACAAAAGCAAATATCAGCTATAATCATCTCTAATTCAGTCTATATAAATTATATTAACACCCTTTATAAATAACTTTACAGAGTTGTACTATAGTGACCTGAGTCTTATGAATGAAATCTATAATTTAACCATGTTTTTCTCATGCCAGGGACACAGAAGGAGCGATGCTGCTGGATATATTTGACGAGAAGCTGCACCCTCTCTCAGTAAGTCATCATCACTTATCATACAAAACATTCTGCACAACTACCTCAGAGTCAGTTTTGGAGTAATTGTGCTTTTAAATCTGCTCATTTAGGCATTTTACCTAAACGTTCCTTTTCTCTTTCTTTCAGAAAACAGAGGTTCCCCCGGACTATGACCAGATCGACACGGAGCAGAAACAGATCTACCGATTTGTCCGGACGCTGTTCAGTGCCGCTCAGCTCACTGCAGAGTGTGCCATCGTCACTCTGGTGAGGTCTTTCACCTCCTTTATCCTCCTATAGAGGGGTGAAGGGATCAAGTACTTTTGAAGGTCGACCCAAAAGGTCTTCCTACACAAAAAGCCAATAGGATTTTTCAGAAGAAAAAAAACGTTTATGATACTTACATGTTTTCTCCACAGATTAAAGCCACTTTTCCAATATTTGAAGCGTAACTGCAATCTCCAGAGATAAGAAGCTAACGTTAGGCTATAAAGGAACTACAGCCCGGTCACATGACTTCACGTCACCACCGCTAAGCTAAAGGTGGCTAATGTTGGGCTATAAAGGAACTACAGCACGGTCACATGACTTCACGTCACCACCGCTAAGCTAAAGGAGGCTAATGTTGGGCTATAAGGAACTACAGCACGGTCAGATGACTTCACGTCACCACCGCTAAGCTAAAGGTGGCTAATGTTGGGCTATAAAGGAACTACACGCACGGTCACATGACTTCACTTCACCACCGCTAAGCTAAAGGTGGCTAATGTTGGGCTATAAAGGAACTACAGCACGGTCACATGACTTCACTTCACCACCGCTAAGCTAAAGGTGGCTAATGTTGGGCTATAAAGGAACTACAGCCCGGTCACATGACTTCACTTCGCCACCGCTAAGCTAAAGGCGGCTAATGTTGGGAATGATGACGTTTAGTCGTCTCATTTAGACTCTTGTTAGCAACCACAGTTTTTAAGACACAAAGAAGCTTCAGACCTTCACCAGTCGGGTTATTTAGTGCCATATTTTATGTCGTAGAACAAAATGTGATAATCTCGTAAGCTCCTGTTAACCATAGACCTTATTTTGGGAATAAAAAACAACTCATTTCCGGGTTAACGACTCATCTCTGCACGACTTCATTATATATTTTGGGATCACAACATAAACACTCATAACAAAAAGGGGGACTTGTCACATAAAAAAAACAAGATTTCTCACAAAGGTTAAGGTGGAATCTGCTTCAACTGTGTCCCACTCCCCACACACACATTATCACACACACACACTTCCTGTTGAGGCCTCAGGGGAAATTCTGCCCTGATGTGTAGAGACAAGCCAGGGATGTGTGTAAAATGGTGATGAGACGTGTGCATCCAAAATACCATGTCGTCTGAGTGTGTGTGGGGGGGGGGGTCAGTGAAGATTAATTCCTCCTGACACCATCGAGTAGAGCATGGACATAGATAAGTAAAACAGATTAGATCAGGGGGTTACTAAGCTTTTTCCTTAAGGGACCCCTTTTCTGTCATTAAGTAAACTGACAACCATTAACTCAAGGACATATTTCATGTTATATTTCGTATAATATTGAAAGCATAACAAGAAACTGTACATTTACCCCATAATTGAACACAATAACTGCAGGAGGTTTGTTTAAATTAACTGTTTGGATTAACTTTGAGCAGATCATTTCATGTCAATATTGCCTTCCTGTTTTTAAGGACGTTAAAGAACAATCATCTGTCCTTATTATGAATTGTAATCTTATAAATGTCAACAATCAAACATACTCAACCACGTTTACCATGCCTGCATCTTGTGAGATAAAAAAAAAGAAGTATACAGATCTTAAGAAAAGCCAAAAATAACTATTTCATATTTTTTTCTCCCAGAAATGAGTGAAATCCTTAGATATAATCCAAAATAAATTATCTTACACATTTTAAAATCAATAAGGCTTTTTAACCCCCCTTTTAAAGCTTTGGCGACCTCTACTGGGGGTCCATACTCCGAGTTCAGGACCCATTGGGTTAGATGAGAGTTTTGTTGTCGGGGTTTGAGGTTTGTCTAGTTTTGGGTTTATTTTGCTGTTCTGTTCTCCCTGTCTCATGTTTTCCTCCTTGTTTCTTGTCTGGTCCTTCTCCCTGTGTTTTCCTTCCTGTCGTTAGTTTCCCTGGTGTGTCTGATTGTCTAATTGTGTTCACCTGTTGCCCTTGTGTTTCTCCCTCGCCCAGCTGTTTCTTGTCCCGTGATTACCCCTCCCTGTATTTAGTCTTTCCCTGTGTTCCCCTGTCGGTTCATTGTTTTGTTTTTCCTGTCTCCCTCCATGTCAGTCACCATCAGCTTTTTGTTATTGTATCTTCCTTGTGTTTTATGCCAGCTTTTAAAATAAAACTCGCTTTTGTTTTCTAGACCAACTTACCTTTTTTTGTAGTCTACTTTTGGGTCCTACCTTTCCCAAATCGTAACATTTGTTTTTCATAGCCTCTTTTGTGTCCGTAGGAGCCATATGTTAAAATGTAGAATTTGATATATTATGTGTGTATATATATTTGAATATTGTATTCTTTGTTATGAGTATTATTATGTCATTTATTTAAACCAGCCGTTGTAAAATTGACGTCATAGCTGCTGGTAATTAGAAAGAGTAAAGAATCNTAGAGAGACACTGTTAACGATATGTTATACTTCATGCTATCTGCACACTAGATAGCACATGAAAGTGAAACTTAGACCAATAGAATCTGTGGACTCTCAGCTTTCATGTGCTATCTAGTGTGCAGATAGCATGAAGTATAACATATCGTTAACAGTGTCTCTCTAAGGAACCGCAGTAAACAACAGGCGTTGCTATAGCAACACGTCATGTTTATGTTCTTGCGTGAGATCAATAGTGCGAGAATCACTGCATTTTCTATAAGGTAAATATTACCCGCTGGCGCTGATGGGTATAAATGGAAACATTTTGGGCCATTTGTTCAATCTGACTTCATATTGACAATTTTTAACACCAGAGGGTGCTACATAACACACTTTCAGGAAAAGTCACGGACTGGGAGACTAGAATATTTTATTGAAAAAAAGTGACATACAATCAAGAAACAGCTGCGGGTAAAATGTACCCGTTGGCGGTTCTAGTGTTAAGGAACAAATACTCTACTTTTAGTATCCACAGTACCTTTCTGTGACGCGCAATCATACAAGATGTCAAAGAAAAGATTTGCTACTTAGGTTACTGTTATTTGCATAAAGCTTCCACGCAATGCATCATTTATCCCTGGATGAATACAACACTACAGTTTGAATTGAATTATAACGTCTTTAAAATGTATTCTGTTGAAACGTTCTGTATGATACAATCGTGATATAAATCAGTAAACTTTAAATCCCCCTTTTGACCCAGAGTATCAGAAAGTATTGCAACGCAGAAAATGCAAACTCATTAAGTATTTTGTTGCATTTGTGTTTGCATTCCCACCAAATCTAAAGACCCATTAAGATTAGTCAAACCAGTCCCCTAAGTCTAAACCATTAGAAAAGGTATTATTTCGTCAATTTAACAACAGTCACGATATTTTGTTGGTTTCCTTTTTTATGTTGGCTGTGGAAATGATGGTGGAATAAAGATATTTAAAACACCTCCAAAGAAGCAACAATCTGCTCAATGTCCTGTTTTTTTTTTTAACCACATTGTATAGAATAGAAACTCATGTTTACAGTTTTGTGGTTTATGTCTTTCTTTCAAACCACCGCTGGACACACTAAAGTAAGAGATCTCTGAACACATACAGAGAGCAGACTTTGCATGGAGGCGCCTCACCTCCAGTTTCAGGGCCTTGTCTCTGCTGAGCAGCTCCAGAGGGAAGCTCAGGTTGTTGGTTTCTGACAGCGAGCGCAGGTCAAAGTAATATTTGGCGTAGACACTGGACGGCACGTTGATGTTGAACTGCAGCAGCTCCAGGAAGTGCCGCTCCAACTCGTTCCTGTGAGAGAGGAACGAGCAGGAGGTTCAGTCATAAAATCAAAACAAGAGATACTACTTTTTCAAGATGCAAGCCGTCCCACACACACACACCTTCTCCTCTAAGAGCTTAATGTACATACCTACTACTGTGCACACTCACCTGCCCACGTTAATGTTATTAGTCACTTCATTACTCTGTCTGAGAGAGAATCTTAATGGTTCTCTCTCCTAATGTTATGACTCATTTGTTTGCCCAACTTGCGTATGTTTATCTGTCTGTGTCTTTGATGTAATGATGGGGCCATATCTCTACTTTCTAACATATTGGTGTACCTCTTATTTGTAATGTCATGGGGTGTTGAACATGTTTGTGTTGTCTTTACAGGTGGACCAAAACAAAATCGCCTCTCTACTAGAAGAATCATTCAGCCAAGCTCTTCAATAGCAACGGTTTCCTCATCGCCTCATTCGTACACTCTCTTTCACTTTTATTGTCATTCGTACATAGCTACAGTGTAGATATGTCAATAGGTCACAGGCTCCTCCAACAGTGCAACACAATACAACTGATAAAAATAGTGCAAGTAAATACAAATAGAATATAAATGGTGCAATAAGAGTTTATATACAAGTAATAGGAATATGATATATTAGATAAATAATTTGTAAGATGAATGTTATGGATGTTCTTTCAATGTTCAGGTGTTTAACCGTCTTATGACCCTGAGTCTGGTAGTTTTACTTACTCTAGATCAGTGCTTGCATATCAGTTTTTGGAGAACAGAGAGAAGAGACATTCATTCCTTATTTTCATCATTTTAACTAAATGTTCAACTTTTAAAAATTGCATGCATGCAGCTGCAGGAGGTTACCGGTCATAAATCTGTCTGATATTGACCAATCAAGGGGCTACAAAAATGGCAAAGCATTGATCTCTATTTCCTTTTAACATTGTTTTAACTTGTCCTGGGATTAATATCATTGACTCTCTGAGAGAAATGTATATTTTAGTGTCCATGCAATGATGAATGGAAATTCACCAGGAAACTATTTTGAGGGATTGATCATAATCTTCGTTTGTTCCGCTCCTTTCTTTGAAGTCCTTTGGTTTTTAGTTATATCGTAAATAAATACGTTTTTTGTAACNCGCACACACACACACACACACACACACACACACACACACACACACACACACACACACACACACACACACACACACACACACACACACACAGTGACCGTTATTAAAGTGTACATGTTTTTGGCTGACCCACATTAAGCATGCCAGGGTGTTGTGCACAGGGCGAATGTGAATCAGCAACATGCGACCTCAGATTGTGATGGTCTGCATTTATTCAGATTCCTTTGTTTACAGCATTTAATCAAAACACCATTTAAAACAAAGTGATTTTTTATGAAAAGCAAAACATAAATCTGTCGAAATTGGAGTTATAACAATAAAATGGCTCAGCTTTGTGGCGAGAAATGTAAATAATGCACTTACATTATTGATGAAGAGGCTCTTCCGTTTATCTTGCACTACAGAGAGAAAGATAGCTTTATTAATAAATGTAATTAATTCTGTACAATAAAGACAAACGCAGCAAGTTTAACCCTCCTATTGTCTTTGTGTCCCCCCCCCCTTACTTTGGTGTGTCAAATTGTTGTGTGTGTGTGTGTGTGTGTGTGTGTGTGTGTGTGTGTGTGTGTGTGTGTGTGTGTGTGTCGGTACCGGGAACCACCAGTGGGTGTTAACAAAGTTGAACTAAATCATACCAAAATTACAATAGAAAGTGTTGATCAGACTAATTGTATGTGTTACAAATGTCTACTGTAGAAGGATATCATAAAGCCTTAATGCAATCGAATGTAAAACAAAAAAGTTATGATTGATGAAAGTAGTAAATCGGTCAGATTTGACCCGAACACAACAGGAGGGCTAAACCAGCAACACACACTGTTATCACAAAAAGCAAGAAGAAAGGACTTAGCGCACGTCTACAGTATGTTATTGTAAAGAACGAAAGCTGTAAGTGTTGAGAGGAAACAGTTCAATCACACGTCAGATAAGCAGAAAGATCAGAGCTTCAACAGAGAGAAGAGTGCTGTTTACACCACTAGAGGGAGACAACGC